TCGCCCAAGACGGCCTCAAACGATCCGAGATAGCCTCCAAGACGGCTGAGACTGTTCAAGATGGTCTACAAGATAGTCCTAGCACACCACCAAGACAGCCAAATAGACCAAAGAAAGCTAAAGATGGCCTCGACATGCCTCTAAGACGACTCAACATGGACCCAAGACGGCCCCAGGCTGCCTCAAGACCGCTCAAAAAAAACCCTGGAACGCTCCAAGTTGCTCCAAGCGGATCTCCGGGAAGCCCCTGGAATTCGAAAGTATTGTTCTTTGTTGTTTATGTTTCAATGATTGCTGTGTTCTCGCCAATTGGGACATCCGACAGGCTCAGACGGCCCCAGAAGCCTCCAAGATGGCCCAAGTTGCCGACGAGAGGCCACGAGACAGCCCAAAAACAGTCGAGCATGGCCTCCAGGATGGTTAAGGTAACCCAAGACGGCCTACAGGACTGTCCCAAGACGCCCAAAAGGTCTAAGATGGCCCCAAGAGGGCCCTAGATGCCCCCAATATTCCTCCAAGACATCAGAAGATGACTTCCAAGACGACCCAAAATAGCCTAGAGACGGCTCAGTACGCCGCCAAGAGAACCCCAAGACGGCCCCACAACATTCCAGTATGGACTCCAACACACCTTATATGATCCAAGATAGCCTCCAAGACGAACATAATGACCTCCAAAACAGCCAGGATGGCCTTACATGGCCTCCACGACAGCCCAAGAGGCTCTCCAAGACTGCTGAGATAGCCCCAAGACGACTCAAGATTGCTCCAAGACGGTCCCAGATGGCCCCATGAGGTTCATCATCAGGCCCCACAAAGCTCCAAAGACCCCCCAAAGGGCACCACGATCTGCAAAAAAACGCGGCCGAGGAAGGATTAATCCCTAGGACGAGGGACGAAGGACCGATAGGGACCTGAGTGTAAACAGTGTAGCAGACGGCACCAAGGTACCATTAGAGACAGCTTACAAGTGGCATAACATGTTTAACACCGTCTACTCGTTCTTTCGACCAGGTAGACTGTAGTGACAAGATACCCTCATCCAAGTTTTCTGTCACTGACCTTTCCAGTGTTACCTAGTCCCCGCTCCCCTGCAACCATCTACTGCGCGGGCAGCTGCCACCACAGAAGTGCACACGGCTGGCGGGACCGTGGCTGTACGCACGACGCGGGCAGCTGCCAGCAGCCAAGCCCACAGAAGTGCACTACGACATGCTGGGGCAGGACAGTGAGCACGACGCGGCAGCTGCAAGCAGCCAAGCCCACAGAAAAACACTAAAGCATGCGGAACCGCGACTCTACGCACGACACGGCCAGCTGCAGGCAGCCAGGCCCACAGAAAAACACTACGGCATGCGGAATGGAGACTCTACGCACGAGGCGGGCAGCTGCAGGCAGCTAGGCCCACGGAAGCGCAGTACGGTCGCTGGTCCACGATCCAGTCACCGTACCGGGATTGGCCGAAAGCCACTGGATCCGAAAATATACACACACATACATCCATCCATCCATCCATCCATCCATCCATCCATCAATCCATACATACAGACATATATATATATATATATATATACACACATGTATACAGAAGTGCATGCATGCATACATGCATGTATCATACATACAATAAGAGCATACGTATATGATACATATATACATACATGCATGCATGCATACATACATACATACATACATACATGCATGCATACATGATGCCTGCATGCATGCATGCAGTACTGCACACATACACACATGCATACATATACACATGCATACATACATACATACAGACAGACAGACAGGCAGACAGACATGCATACGTACGTTCATACATACATACACACAGATACATACATACATGCGTGCATGCGTGCATGCAGGCATACAGACAGGCAGGCAGACAGACAGGCATACAAACCTACATGCATACATAGAGACCTACATGCATAGACACATACATACGAACTATAGAGACAGACGTACACAGATAAATACATCTACATACACCTGTACATATATACTAAAACATATATATACACATATACATATACATATACACATACATATACATATACATATACACATACATATACATATACATATACGTATACATACACACATAGATATATGCAAATACACACAACTATCCATATACATATACACATACGTACCCATACAGATATGCACATATACATATACCTATGCATCGATGCATGCACTCATACATACATATAAACAAAGACGTCTACATACATACGTACATACATACATACACACTTACTTACATACAGACATACATATAGAAATGCAGTCATGCATGCATGCATACTACATACATGTATGAATAGGTACATGCATACATGCATGCATGCATACCTACACACACCTATATACATACATACATACATACATACATACATACGTACATACATACATACATACATGCATACATACATACTCACCTAGAAATACCAGTACGTGTACGTGCATGCATGCGTTCCCTAGCTGCTCCCTCCCCCGCCCCCGCGCTCACTACCAGCCAAGGGTAGGGGAGGGGGAGGGGGGACGGGTTGGGAGGCGGGGCAAGGGGGAGGGAGGGGAGGTAGGAGCAGGGAGGAGGGATAGCGGACGCGGGGGGGGAGGAAGAGGAATGAGAAAGAGGGCGGGGAGGAAGAAGTAATCGGGGGGGCACGTGGGTGTCCTAGTCCTCCTCCAATTCCACCTCCAGGTCTTGGGCCCCTTTAATGGCATTTGCGGGCCCTCTTGGGCCCTCTTACGGCCATGTTGGAACCTTCTTGAAATATGCTGAGGTGCTGATAGTTCGTCTTATCCAGATTGATGGCCCTCTCGGGCTCCTCTGAAAGCCCTCTCTGGCCATCTTGGGCCTTTCTTGGGGCAGCGATGGGCCATTTAGGACCCTCCTGGGGCCCTCTCAGGGCTCTCGTGGGCGCAGTGTGGCTCCTCCGAGGGCTTCTGGGAGCCACGTGCTGTCGAAAAGTGCGGAATATAACAAGTTGTAAGAGATCTGAGGAAACTCTTCGGTTCTGACAGACATTGTAAAGAACTGCCTCGAGTCGCCAGATCGCTGACCTCTTGCCCCCGTCCGCGGGGTTGGTTTCTCATCCCCGATCGTTGTCTGACAGTCCCCGAGCGCAATGACAGCCACCAGAGGACACACACTCGTCGCCGTTGTCGCGCCGTCGTCGTGCCCAACGCTGCGGCTCCCCCACCCCGCCCCGAACTCTTGTTCGCCCGACAAGCCTGAAGGGGGCCTAGGGACACACAAATCCGCCAGCCCGCTTGTGGGGCCACCAGGCTGTAGGCCCAGGGTTTGCCGTTCCCTGCACCAGTTTCAGTTTCCAGTTTCCACTGTTACAGTATTGCTTTATGCTGTTGACTGTTCCTTGTTGTAGACCGCGCGAGGGGGGGAGCCGAAAACCAACAAACCTAGCGTCTCCTGGGAGGGTTCTCAGAATTTCTGGGGCGCCCCGAGGCCATAAGCCTTTGTAACTTACACATTGTTTGCGTCCATCAAGCCATAAACCTCAATGAATTACACAATATTCGCGTCCCCGAAGCCATACATCTTTGCAAAATACTTGATATTCATATCCCCGAGGCCATAAACCCTCGTGAGTTACTCAATATTCGCGTCCCCGAAGCCACAATAAACCCTTGCAAAATACGCCGTATTCGTGTCCCCGAAGCAATAAACCATGTAAATTACGCAATGCTTGCGTCCCCGAGGCCACAAACGCTTGCAAATTATGCAATACTCGCGTCCCCGAAACCATAAACCTGTTGAAAATTACACAATGGTCGCGTGTCCGAAGCCATAAACCCTTGTCAATTACGCAATATTCGCGTCTCCGAAGCCATAAGCCTGCATAAATTATGCTATATCTGCGGCCCCGAAACCGTGAACCCTCATAAATTACACACGATTCGCGTATCCGAAGCCATAAACCTTTGCAAATGACACTATATTCGCGTCTCCGAAGCCATCAGCCCTTGCAAATTACATTGAAATAAAACTATATTCACATCCCCGAAGCCATAAACCATTGTAAATTACTCTATAATCTCGGCCAGGAAACCATAAACCCTCGTAATTTACATAAGAGTTGCCACATTTCTCGAATTCGGAGGCACCCCTCACGCAGATCGGCGGGGTCAGGGTCGAAAAAACAATGGGATTTGCTACATTTCTCAAATTCAGCGGCACCCCTCACGCAGATCAGCAGGGTCAGGGTCGACAAACCCATGGGATTTGTCACATTTTGAAATTCGGCGGGAAACCTCAGTGCACAGCATCGCTGAGTTCAACAATATCATCAGAATCTCAGTTTCTCTTGCCGATGCTGCTTCACGGCGGCGCCGAGGCCTCATGATTTAGCTCTTGTAAAGCCAATTATCCGAGAGGGGGCCAGCGGCAGGGGGCGAAGCCCTTACGGATAAATACACACAAATCCCAGGATTCCCTATATTTTCTCACATGTTCTGAATTCTCGTATTCCCCCCCACTTCCCATATTTTCCTATATTTTTCTGGGAAGCGACGATTAATTGTGTCTGTGGTTTTTTCCCCTCCTTGGGCGTTGCTTAATGGGGGGGTCACAAATGGGGGGGTCAGAAAAGGTCCCCTTTCGTGCCCCTTTCGGGCCCCTCCGGAGCCCCAGGGGGCTCGTTTAGGTACCGTTTGGGTACCTTTTCGGACCACCCTCGCCACCCCCCCATTTATGACCCCCCCATTACGCAACGCCCAACCTCCTGAAAATCCGCTGGCAGCCGGCGGATGTTCTGTGAAATGGACAGACTGCCATAATTCCGCCCAGCTTCGCTCTTTCCTGCGGACTCGCCTTGCTCATCGCCCTCGTTCTCGTCGCGACACTCTCTCGGGACACCATCGGCCGCCCCAGTCCGATCCCCCGGCGAGGTCCGGGACCTCAGCACGGCCCCCGCGGGCCCCGGCGCGGCGGAGACGGGGCGCCCCAAGCGCGCCTGGCGCGCCTGGCGCGCTCGGCAGCCCAAGCAGCTCCTCTCCCGCCGCATGGGGAGCCGCAGACGACGACGACGACGACGACGACGACGACGACGACGACGACGACGACGACGACGACGACGACAAAAACGACGACGACGACAAAAACGACGACGACGACGACGACAAAGACAGACGACGACGACGACGACGACGACGACGACGACGACGACGGCCGCAGAGGCGGCGGCGGCGGCGGCGGCGACGACGACGACGACGGCGACGGCGGTGGTGGCGGCGGCAGCGAAGTTGAAGATGCAGGCGACGGCGACGGTGACGGCGACGGGGATCATCGAATTGCTGCACAGGCCGCTGAGGCCTAAGAATAGCCGGAAACGTCCCAAAAATCTTAACACTCGAGACCTGAGTCCTAGATCCATCGATCGATCGACAACGACGACGTCGAACGACGACGACGACGACAACGACGCCAACGAGCGACGACACGGACGACGAAGACGACGTCGGCGACGCCAACGAGAGACGACAATGACGACGACGACGACGACGACGACGCCAACGAGCGACGACACGGACGACGACGACGTCGGCGACGCCAACAAGAGACGGCGACGACGACGACTACGACGACGACGACACGGACGACACAGACGACGACGAGGACGACGACGAAGATAACGACGGCCATGAACGACGACGACAGACGACGGACGACGACGACGAAGACGATGACGACGGACGACGACCGACCGACCGACCGACCGACCGCGACGACGACTACGACGACGACGACGACGACGACCGACGACGACGACGACGACGACGACGACAACGACGACGCCGACGGCGGCGGCGGCGGCGGCCGTGGAGGCGGCGGCGGCGACGGCGACCGACGACCGACGACAGAGGAACGACGACCGACGACGGCGACCGACG